GATGTAGAGTGTTTGTTATTAGTTGAAGCTTCACTGCTTTGGTATTTTGTATCCATGCCAAAATAACATTCATCATAAATGGTTGTATTGTGCATTGGATTCAAAGTAGTATGGGAAGATGGATAATACTTTTATTTAATTGCAAGAAGTTTTTGAAATGAAGTCAACTGTGCTAGCGTAAAAGTCAATATAATTTACTTAGATGGAAACAAGCCCTTTACTGCTTAAGCCTGGTTCAAATACACATGTCTTAACTTGAACACGTTTACATACATGCCACTCAATTTTTATGTATTTACATATTTGCACCTAAACATTAAATTTTTTTTATACATACCACCTAATACTTTTGTATTTAAATGATTAGCACCTAAACTTCTATATTTTTATATATCTAACACTTAAATTATCCTACCTATATTTAAAATAATTTGATGTGAAAAATGTATACATGAAAATGTATGTATTGCTTTTGAAAATAAGTGGTGGTATATTTTTGATGTGGTATACAAACCTTGAGTAATATGAACTCAACTTGAGTGCTATACATGCAAATAGATATAAGAATTGAATGATATGCATATAAATCTTTTATGTATTCATACATATGACACTTAACCTTTCAAAGTTATGTCTATAATACCATGGTGTGACGAATGCATGCATGGGAAGGTATGATGTACCGTCGTAAAATAAATAAAAATATTTTTTTTATCTGATATTAAAGATTTGAATGTTATGCATATAAAATGGAAGTTAAGTGTTGTATGTGTAAATGCAAAGGAATCAAGAAAACTAATAGATCTAGGAAAACGCAAAATACCTGAGAACAATGAACTAAGAAATCAGACTAAATCATAACTAAAAGATCAAACCCAAGAGAATAAACTAAAGTTTACCAACTTGAAATAACTCCAAACCATACACAGGCAGAGCAACTATAAACCCTATGGTAGTCAACATAGAAATGAAATATAGGTCCATGCACTTCGAGATTAGTCCAGTTTAGAACCCTGGCTTAGATTACTTGGTGCTTTTAGCTAATTTCTAAATATCATAACCTATAAAACCCCCAAAGCTTATAAATCTCTGGAACTATGAGGTGTCATAGGATGAGGTAACTCATAATTACTGAAGAAGGCACCTTCATCGACTAATGATTAACTAAAGCAATATTAGTTATCTATATAGTAATAGTGGAGACTTCTGACTATCTGGCTGGTTAATAGCTAAGGCTACCAATGAACTCGTTAAGATGAAAAACCATAAGGATTCTGATCGGAGATGTCATGCCCAATTATTTAGGTGAATCTATACATATTTAGTTTCCTTGTAGAACTTAGATTGTTCTATATGTAGGACTTCAACCTCAGTCTATAAATTAATCCAACCAATCCTATTCATACTCCTTAAATCAAACCAAACCCCTTCCAATCTCATCACAATTTCACCAAATCCATATTTTTTAACTCCAATCAACAACCATCCAATTTTAAGATTCAAGGGTAAATCTCCCTCTTATGGTAGGTTAGTTCCCTTCCTAGCCTTTCCACAACTCGGCGTAGCTAGATTGTTAGTACCAACCCTTCTAAAAATAATTTCTAACTCAAACTAAAATTGAATGCCCCTTTTCAACACATAAAGTTTGATTATAGAATATGTTGGAGGGCTCACTAGGCTTCCCAGTATTCAATAACTCTATACCTTTCTGCCATTGAACTATGAAAATAATCTCTCCAAATTTGAACATATCCCGTTTGAAACTCCTGAAACACCAACGTTGACATCCAAACTTTGAAATCATGTCAATACTTTAATCAAGTGTTTTTTTAGAGTTCAAAATTTTGTTAGGTAAGTAACTACAGGGACTTGCTCTTGTAGGGATATCATACCCTAGAATAAAATAAATCATATCTTACACCTCTAAGATAGAAAAAAATCTCTAATTAATGTATACTAATAAATCTCAAAGATTTTCATCATTTCAATGATTCAATATATTTAAATAAAATTTTTTTGCCTTCAAAGTGATATATTTTTTCGTCAAATGATGTATTTAATTATTTTGATAAAAATCTTTCGAGTTTTGTGGTAAACGCCCAAAATTAAAACCATCAACCACAAACTTTTTTAATTTTTTTGCTTTAATCTGTTCTTCGACTAGGCTGTGGAGATGTTGTCATTTCTCCATATCATATTTTAATCCCTATGATATGCACTTTATCTATTGGGATCACACACATGGGTTCTCACCTACATAGGACATAATTTATTGATGAAGTCTTTATTTTAAATGACCTTGATTATCTTGGTCATTAGTGTGACTTTGGTAGAAGGAAATTAAGATTGTTCTTGCCTCCTCATAAAAAAATTTTTCTAATTAGCCTTCTATTGGTATCTTTCCACTTGTGTTGTCGAAAGTGCTTGTCATATTTTTCTAATTAGCCTTCTATTGGTATCTTGTTGACCTCATTTTTGGTTGAGGTCTAGAAATGAGTGATCCGGAAGTTTGTCCTACCAAAGCAATGCCTTGATTTCCCGCGGTCTCCATGGAATCGGTTTTGAGACTTTCCTTTCGGCTTCTATGGTATGAAGGAGCCAGGCTAAGAATTATATTCTTTAAAAGAAATGTGGTTTTTTGCAAGCTCTAAGAGCTTGAACAAGGTTCTTGGCTTTTGTAACCTAAGTGCATACCTAAACAAAAATCATGCAAGCCTTGAGCCAAGGCTGTGTGAGAAACAACAAGTTCTAAGTCTTAAATGTCCAATAAGCTTCATTGGAAATGTGTGATGGAGCTTTTAAGGCTCTCGGTGAGATTCTAACAGATTTTTATAAGAGGTATATAGTTCTTTTGCATCTTTTGATTGCTAGAAAACTATGATGTGGACACGCGCTTGAACTCTCTAAAGGACGGGAGACTCCTGCATGAATGTTTTTGAACCAACACAATATCAATTTTTTTGATATTATAAGGAATAAATGATATTTTAGGGCATCATTTCCCTTAACAGACTTGTAATTAACTCAAAAGAAGATACATGATAAGAATTCCTTTTATAAGATTCTAAAGAAAGAATCCTGAAGTTATTTAGTGCCTCAGCTTTGACAATCTCTTTTGATGATTCATTCTCAAATGAACTTTGTCTTCTTCTTCTTCTAGCTCCTTTTCTCTTATGATTCAAGAGGTCATTCCTGTGGAACGTAAGCTCCATCCCTTTCTTCACCCGACCTCCTATTAAGAGTCTATCTAATCCTTGCTTTTGGTTAGTCCTGCCTAGGCAGCTCCTAACTTGGTTGTCCTTGTCTTGACACTTCTCATCTATGAACAATCAACCATAATGGTCTTGTATGGGTCTTAAATTGAGCCCTGAAATGAAAATACTTCTTATTTTGAATCTATATAGCTTGTAAGACTTGTTCCTTCATCGAGTTGATCTATTGTGCCACAAACTCTATGACGTAATCCATTTTTTTTATTCTTCCGTATGCTGAAATAATCCTCTTACAGAGTTTGAGCATGAACTCCACACTCATCACATCATTTAAGATGTTGAATCCTTTTAGGATATAGAGACCAACATGTTAGCGAGTTCATACAACTTTGAAGTCTTTGAAGGAAGTTCCCTTGAGAGCCCCTCTAACATACATTTTATACATGAGAGAAAATATAAAATTTACATTCGATATAGTACAACGCCTGTCCATGGTATCCTCGTGAAAAGATCACGATGTGGTTAATATATGACATCATAAGTAAGGATTGATGCATGTACCCTGAAGTAATGTCGATTTTTCTTCCTAGTGGTTTGTTTGCCCCGAACTAGTTCAGCCACTTTGGCAAGTAGGCTTAGCTCAACCGTTTCAGACCTAGGACTTCGAAGCCCAAAAGGACTGTTGATTAGTATGTTGCTCCCATGAAAAAAGTCTTGTTTAAGTACACAATCTTATTTATGTATACAATATGATAATACTTTGTTGTATTAATTTTGAATTAAAATTAAATTAATGTAAAACCCAAGAACGTGCTCCAGTAATGCAAAAGATGGTGAAGAGGGCTTTGGAGGTTGATAATGGCTAGCTTTGATAGTGATTAATGAGTGATGACAATAGCTGATAGACAATAAATCAATTATAATTACAGTTGCATTAGGTGGTAACAACTTGTGTAGTTTATATAGAAATTGATTGAATCACACAATATTTAAATGCATTAAATTTAAACTAAAATGCAAGTTTTGAATTTAAAAAGAACTTTACAAAATTAGAAACTCCCTTCATTTGATTTGCATTGTAATGATATTGTACATAAAGTAGCATCTACAATTATTCAAATAACATTTAAGTCTTAAAATCACATATTTTTAATATTTTATTATTAAAAAACAAACAAAATAAAGTTAATATTTAGATTTTTATATAATTTAGATATAATTTAACATTGAAATAGATTTACAAATTTAAATTTTGCATATATAAGTATATAAACGTTGTCATATATGTATGCAAGTTCCTCATTTGATAACAAGTTTTTATCAAATTTTTTGAGAAAATTTACTTAACAAGCACACACTTCTTACATATTTACATATCTCACAATAAAATTTTTATATTTACATGCATAATATTTTAATGCTCTAAATTTATTAAGAAAATGTATATTTCATCTTTAAAACATGATAATAATATTATTTTCAATGTGATATAAAAAATTTATGAGGTATGTATGTAAATATGATAGTAAGTGTGAGATATATACATATATAAAAACAGTTTATCCTGAAAAGCACGAGCTGTCCAAAAAAGACTCTGAATTGCTCAAATTTTTATTAGAAAAACGGCTAACCAAAACCGAACGTAACTGCAATTTCACTCACCGTGATTCTGTCTCAGGAGCCGTCCTCGACCATTCTTCACTTACCAAGCACCCACTTTTCACCCAACAAATTCTATACACGTGTCAAGCGATTATACGTTTGGACACATCACCACAAGAACACACCCCCGAACCCGTACGACCCCCCATCACTTCCTCGTCGCGGTGATCGCCTAGATCCGTTCTCCAAACGCCCCTCTTCTAATCTTTTCCTCGCCGATCCATGGCTTCCTCCTTCCCCCCAGGCCGCCCATCGGGGTCTCGGCCCGGTTATTATCCCCCTACAACAGCAAACCCCACCCCTAACCCTAGCCTAGCATCGTCTTTACCTGGCGCCATGCAGAATCTACAGATCGGGCGCCCCCCTCCCGCATCCCAACTTCCTCCATTCCTCTCCGGCACTCCGGCCGCCGTTTCCGGGGGATCTCGCCCCGGTCCTCCTCCTGAGGCTCTTCCCTCTCGCCCACAATTTCAGCAGCCGCCGGTCATTTCTAACGGTCCGCGATTCCCTACCCCGGCATCTTCAAGGGAACCTCTAACTTCTTCGATTTCTACCCAGGGTTCTCGCGTTCTCCCAGGAAGCCCTTCCGCCAGCTCGCAGGCGAATGATATGGTGCCACCAACGATTTACACTTCATCTTTTTCTGCTCCAGCTTCTGGTATTCCGATGGCTCCTCCTTCGATGGTTAGCGGCCCTTCGCAATTGCATTCCTTGATGGGTGCTCCGCCATCCCAGCACTTGATGGGAGGTCGGCCATCCCAGAACTTGATGGGAGGTCGGCCATCGCAGCCCTTGATGGGAGGTCCGCCATCGCAGCCCTTGATGGGAGGTCCGCCATCGCAGCCCTTGATGGGGGGTGCTCCCTCGCAGCCCTTGATGGGAGTTCCTCCATCGCAGCCCGTGATGGGAGGTCCTCCATCGCAGCCCTTGATGGGAGGTTCGCCATCGCAGCCCTTGACTGGAGGTCCTTCATCTCAGCTCATGATGGGAGTTCCGCCATCGCAGCCCCTGATGGGTGTCCCGCCATCCCAGCCCTTGATGGGAGGCCCGTCATCGCAGCCGTACATGGGACCGCCACCGATGCATCAGTACTCAGGGCTGCGGCAGCCTCTACCTACTTCTGGTGCTGCTCCTCCATTTGGATCGCCTCCTGCTTGGCAACAGCAGCAACCCCGGCCGGTGAGTTTGTTTCCCGTGCGCATTCTGTTTGTTATTTGAACTGTAATGTTATATTGGAGCCGGATTGGATTTTTGGTTACTTTTAGCAGAATATGGCAGGCCGCGTTACTTGTTTTAGCTGCAGGCATCTGTTAATTCCAGTTGATGATATGTTTTTTGGTTGTTTACTGATAAATGAGGAGAGCATTACGTTAGAGCGCTCTTTAGCTGGGTCTTATGTCGCAGCCGTACTGATTACATCAATGGCTAGCAGGATGAATCTTGGTTGGAAATCGTTTGTATTGTTGCTGGATGTGTTCAAGAGAACTAGCTCTCGATTCTTGCCTCAGGCTTTCTGTTTTGAACGTATTATAGATGCTTTTCAACACAATGATTGTAGCTCTTGGGATAGGTTGGCTGATGGCCTAATATTGAATTTTTTGTACTTCCAGGTAATTGGTCTGGTGATGTATTAGGAATGTGACTCTAATTTTTAGAATTTCGGATCTTATCCTTTTTTTTGTATATTATCGGTGTTACTGCTGAGAGTGTTGTGGCAGGGATTTCTTTTATTACTCTTTCAGTGGATATCTGTCAAAGTTTAAGATCATAATATCTACGTGTTTGGGGTAAATGTTGGATGCCTTATTGCCTCTTTCTATGCGATCTATATTACAAAGTAGGATATCTTAGTTTGATAGGTACCTAATTTTGATGATGAGGTGAACCCAAATTGGAGATAAAATGGAAAATTTTGGGATGGATTCTATAACAAGCATTTGAGCAAATTACATAATTTAGCTGGGAATTTACACCCAAACAGTAGGCACTCATTCACGCTTGAAAGAGGCTTCACAGTTCTTAAATCCACCTCGAAAGGCAATTCTTGTTCATCTAGGTGTCACCATATTCCCAACCTTCAATAAAACTTGGCCTCAAGTCTTACAAGTTGGTTAGATATTGTTACTGGCTGGATATAAATATGATATGTTCGATGTTAGACTATAGACCATTTCCGCTGGAAATTTAACTTTCTATGCATTTGGTTGAAATATCTTCAATCCATTTCACAAGCCGATCTTCCTATATTCAAGTTTGTGGTTTTTGCTTGGAAATGACTCATTTAAAAACTTACTATCAAGTCATATTCTCTTTATTCCAATCGTGGCTATTTGTGCATCAATGTTATTTTAACAAGTTTAATACGATTTTGAAAACCCTTTTTCATTGTTCAACTTCTTTGATTTTGTGTATTACTTTCTCTCATAGCCTCTCTGTCTCATTAAACATCAAATCTATGGTGTCTTGGGTTATTCTATATTCCACTTTGGCTGTCAACTCTGGCTTGATCAACATTTTATGTTTTTGAGAAATTTGGCTTGAGCAATAACTGCTTTCCATTGATGTGGGTGCTCAACTTGGAAGGTAACATTGGATATCACCAAGGGATTGGTTGATCACCCTTGGATACCCATAAGATTGGGCAACATTAGCACTTGATAAACTTTTTCTGATGAATAGAAATTTTCATGCAATTTTATAGAACTGGCTTATGAATCTCATATCATGATCCAATGTGATGTGTCTTGGCATTTCATGAATCTTCACAATTTTTTTCTTTAATAAAATTTTAGCATAATTGCAAGCATCCACTCTTTTTATATGGGATCAAAAGATCAATGAAAAACAAAAAAAAAAAGTGTTCTTACATTATTGTATCTTGTTAACCCAACCCCAAAATCCATGATTACTTTTACCATGGGATGATTCATAATTGATAAGGGTTTGAATCATCTAATATTATGTATATCATGCATTGTTTTGCAAAGACTCTACATCAATTATCATTTTTTATTAAAGGATATACTAAGCCTCTTTCATTTTAGGAATTACTTAAAGTGTGGATATGCAATGTTCTAATCCTAATGCAAAGTTGAGTAACTTTGAAAAGATAGCCCTAGTGACTGAAGATTTTATTTATTTATTTTTTTCACACTTTTGATAAATAGGTGAAAATATAAAATATTCTTAGTTCATTTGGTTGATCAATTCCAATGGTTGCGAATGACAAGGTATTAGGAAGACGTAGCTTTCTACTAATTCAATCATGAAATTGTTTTAGAACATAAAACCTATTATAGGTGACAAATTATTTGCTTGGAGATGAGAAAACCACTTGGATCTAAATTTAATTTCTCTTAAGCATTGAAAACTTGACTAGTTTCTTGATCACAATGCAAAACATTTTCCTTATGAAATTGTTTCTAAAATAGTTAAGCTTGAATTGCTGCATAAAATTCCAATCTGTGCCGATTTACACCTATAGCCTCTTTGTGATGGTATCAGTGAAGCACCTCTTTCATCATATGTTGGGGTGGAATTAGTTCTTAAGGGTTCATTAACCTCATCTCCAAGTTCCTGACCAAAAGGAAAATAAAATAAAACAAAAGAAAAAAAAAAGGAAAAAAAGAAAAAAGAGAAAAGATGGCAATAGGCGCACCCCCACCCCAGTAATGGAAACTCATTTATTCTTGAAGGACTAAAGGAGGACTCACATATCATGATATCAATTGATGTAACCCCAAAATTTGTGAGATGTAAAATCTGATTGGGATGGATTCTATTACTAGGAGTTAAGCAAAATACATAGAACAGTTGGGGATCTACTTAACGGAGATTACTGGCTACTAAATCTGGAGCAAAAGGCAGTACCTGTTTATCTTTGGCTTCTTCACTGCAGGCCTGGAATGTGAATTGTGTTCATTACCCAATCATTATGAAGATTTAATGGTATTTGTTTGGGAAGTTATATTGTTTAAGATTTTTTATGCTCTTGAATGTTTAAGCCTCGAAGTTTTAGTACACATTTTACCTTTGCAATTCATTTGTTTAGAAAAGGTTTTTTTGTTATACTTTTTAATTCTGCTACCGAGCAATAAAATTTATCATAAAATTTTAATTTGATTTTGAAATGAGAATGCTTTCTGAATTGAACTATCTTTCCTATGTTTATACTTGGACCACCGACATGATGGCAAGTTGATTGATTTTATAAGGTCTCATTTTTTTAATTTTTTGTTTTATGATTTCATTTCTACGAATGATTAGTAAGGTAATACATGTGAGATGTTCCAAATGGATTTCCAATAGTTTGATCACTCTACTAAATCAAAAAAACATAAAGATGCACTTCTTTATTATGATATAAGTTTTCTAAGATTTTAGTATCTCATTTCAGGGTGTAGCGCCCATTTCGAGTATGGTACAAGCACCACCACAGATGTTTGGCGCACCCCCAAGCTTGTTAACTCAATCTATGCCTCCAGTTCCACCAGTGATGGGAAATTCACCACTTGCAGGGCATCATTCATCAACTCCCTCAAAAATTGATCCCGATCAGATTCCTCGACCGATGTCTAGTTCCTCAGTTATTGTTTTTGAGACTCGTCAAGGAAACCAAGTGAACAATCCCCCGGTATTTACCCCAATATTTCTTACGAGGAATTTACTGTCATTGATTTTTTATGTTTTTAAGAGAAATTCTGAATGTATTTTGATCATTTTTTTTAATCTCGTTACTTTTGCTTCTTCAAATTTACACAGCCCGCCACAAGTGATTTTGTGGTGAAAGACACTGGCAACTGCAGTCCACGGTTGATTAGATGCACAATGAATCAGGTGTGATAGTAGATTTGTGTAGTTGCTTAATTTTTCTCCTTGCTCTAAATTTCATATGTTTTTCATAGATACCATGCAGTGGAGACCTTTTATCAACTTCTAGCATGCCATTGGCTTTGCTGGTACAACCCCTGGCAATTCCAAATCCGGCTGAGGAGCCTATCCAAGTAATGACTTCCTTGTTTATTCATTTATTTTATCTTTCATACTGCCTCCCAAATTTCTTGTGTATTTTGTTAATATATTGATTTCTATGCTACAGATTAATGAAATTTAATAGTTGTGGGAATATTTCCTTGATGCAGCTTTAAAATTATGGGAAAGTTGAAGCGCTCTGCCAGAATCTATGCATAATTGTTTAATGATAATTTCCGCACTTCTTTGAGTATTTTGTCCTTCTGTTAGCAGATAAATGTCAGTTCTCTTATTTATCAGATGAGCTGGTGCTTATCTTAAAGAACAGTTTTAAATTACTTTGAATTCATTTCGTTAGAAAAGAAAACAAAAAGATTTCTTTTGCAGAAACCTGCTAGCCGCCTGACAATATTGGTCAAGTATGAACAGGAAATTAATCTGAAAGCTTTCTTCTACTGGTAAATTTACTTGTTTGTTTGATGCATTTATAAATGCTGATGCCAGATAGGTCCGTTGCATCAGTTCGATGTTTCACCATGCTCACTTCCTCATGGCGGTTATCTTTTTATTTGAGTTGCATTAATATTTGCCATAATTTCTTCTGATAGTGGTTTACAGCTCCTATTTAGCTTGTGTTTAGGTGGCTGTGGTGTAAGGAAGATCTTAAAAGTGATAATTAAGTAGGCTAAGTTTATGAGCAATGGCAATACTAGGGTGAAGTGCTCATCTCCTCAAATGATAGTTTTTCAATTTCTTACTTTATCAAATAATGATGCATTGTTCGAACTAGGGATGGTGTTGAACAAATATACAACATCAATATAATTAGTAACCTTATCTCAAGTATTTGGGTCAGCTATTGCACAAATATGCATGGCGTACAAAATGATCTATTTGATAAAATGCTATGTATGATCTCTCACACTTTAATCGTCAATAGTAACATTTTTTTTTTTGGCTGGAAGATATATCATATATTTTATTTATAATTTAGAAGGAAAATATGAAGTTGTTCAGCTAAAAGAAGCATTGACAATGTTATTTGAACTAGTGTTGTTAAAGATACCAGGTTGTTGTCAATTGCTCGGGCAAGATGTGGCCATAATGCTTTGCTGACCACCCAAGCATGCTTTATCACCAAGGCATGCTTGGATGAGTGCCTTATCATGTGTTACTAGACGCTAGGCTTGTACTGTCTTTTACTTTGGAATGGATGCTAATACTTTTAATGCTTAGATCAAGTTATAGTTTTATTGATGATAATTTGGCAATGAATGATTTCAATAAAAGCATTATGTGTTGGGAAATGTGTACATCCCTTGCAAACAAGTTGATGATGAAATGTAGGTGTAAAAAAGAATTTTTTTATTAAACTTTGATGATGAAAAAAGATGAATCAAGAAGAAAATAGATTGAAGGCTACAAGTCCATTGATAAAGAGTTAGTATGGATTATTAAGAAGGTGAAATATATAGTTATGAGGTTATATTGTTTTGAAGTTCATATTATCTTTGTTTATTTTTGGTACAAACTTGAGCAGTGTAATCGAATTTGTTTAAAACTACCTATTTAGTAAGATTTTTTAGCTTAAAGTATCCTCATCATTAAAGTGAAGTGATAGAAAAAATTGCAATTTCATTTTTAATTCCTTACTTCGCTTGGGTCATCTCCTATGGTAGTCATGTTGACTTGAGTTCATGTAAATGTTTTTGAAACATTGATTCATTTACATTTGTTCTCGTGATGTCATTGGTTCGACATACCTGTAGGAGAACATGTCTAATATGGTTGCTTTTAAAAGGGCTAAAGCACAGTATTGCATCACTGATATATACCTTTTTTTTTTTGAAATAATACAAACTTCTTTTCTCTTGTTGTTTGATCGATGGAACATCAGTTTTGATATTTTGATTGCACAAGTTAATTATTAAGAAAGGCTTCTAAAGAGGAATCTTGTGCAATTCGGAAGAAAACTGGAAGATAAGCAGGTTTTTTTTTAATTCTATCTTAGCAAGTTTAGGAGTTCAGAAGCCAATGTTATTCTTAAAATAATGTCAGTTTACTGTAGCTGATTTTTTATTTTTCTTTGCGACTATGTTAATCTTTAATCATGTTTATTTCCTTTCAATGATGTCTTTTGAAACAATTGACTGTCCAAAATCCAACTAAAGTTCCATGATGCAAGGTGGTCTATTTTTGCTACGCTCATGATAATTATTATAGAACATAATTGCAACATTTAACTGGCTTGGATTGGGCATTTGAATTATGGGAAAGTTCTCAATCTGTAAAGTTTCTTTTGAATAGAGCATGATGGGCAGGGCTTGGATTAGAACCAATGCTTTTCGCATCTCTGCCTTGCCAGGCATCACATGCTGCACGAAATGGCTAGGCTAGTTCTGGATTAAGGGTTTTGAAACTGTGTGGTAGGAGGGAGATTTTTTTGATATGATTTATCTTTCTATTAGAATTTTTTAGTGAGTAAATTGAATTTAGGACATGGCTGGCAGAATTGGCTGCGTGCAGGATGAAAGATTCTCGCAAAAGTGATAGACATTTGGCTTAGCTCCTTTATTTTCCTTCATATTTTGTCATCCATTTCTCTTTGTTTTGTTTTTATATGGATGAAAAATTCATGCAGGGTGATGGCATATACCTGGCAAAGGTTCACAGCTCTTTAATTGTTTGCTGAGGGTGCTAAATTGCTGTTTGTTATTGTTTATTAGTAATATTTATTTTATGATCTGGTATCCTTAGACAATTAGCAAGTATGTCGGTGCACTTGCGGACGAATTAGATTCATATATTGAAAGATTATCTCATAAAACATGTGTAGGATTTAAAAATTATACAATTTAGGCTAATTTGTGAAAAACCCTAAAACATGCAAAGCCTAACTTTTAATTTTTGTAATGCCGTATTCTGTTCGCTTGTACGTATGTTACAGATTCTATGACAAATTGTGCAAACATGAAATTAACTTGCATGTTTAATTTGGATTTCATTTTTTATTCGAAGGCTAGGATTTGTTCTCTCACGCTTTTTTTTATTCGGGTGGGCCTTACAAGACATATTTTTTGTCTATAAATAGGACGGTTCAATTCATTTTCATTTTTTATGAGTCTAGTTCATTATGCGTGATGAGTTCTAAGTGTAGGAAGCTCCTGCTCGTCCTTAACAGTGAAGTTTCAAGTCCAATGCAAGTTTTATTCAAATCTTAATTATGTCTACTTTTAGTACTTTAAAATATTTTATGCATTTGTTCAGGCACTCATTTTATTTTCAAATTTGCAATTATTTTTGCTCATTTAATAATATTTAACATCCAATGACAATTTTTATTTTGTTCTTTCTGAACAAATTGCTGACAAAATTTTGGTAGCTTCCTAGATCATTCTAGTGTGGGGGTTGCATAAGAAATGCTAGCCCTTCCCACACCATGCTTAAAAAAAAAAAGAACTTTGGTAAGTGTCTCGAGATTGGCCAAATGTATCTTCAAACCCACTATGCATAAGAAAGCGTGTATGGGACTTGGTGTACTTGCATAAAAAAACTAACACTCATAGCCCTTATGCTGCATCGACATGATGCACACGGGTCTTTAACCCATCATGTTTAAAAGAGCGTGCATGAGACTTAAAACATTTGTTTAAGAAAATTGACATACAACATAATTTGCCCGTTGTGTCAAAATGATATGAGAGATTGCTTATATTTTTCATGGAGAGATGATGCCATTCCTCACTTTTATTTGTATTATACCTTGCACACAAGTGGCAACGAGGCGACATGTTGCGAGGTGAATACATATCTATAATTTTCATATTTTTTATTTCAGAGAAAAGTAGGAATAGAGGGAGGAGGGATTCAGATGGTTGGTGATGTTTTTAGTGGGCCGAAATTAGGGGGAAGTAGCTCTGCAGTCATTGTGTATGAAATGAAAAGTAGATGACTGACAGGGTTAAGACTTATCAGGTTTTTGTTGGCAACAATCAGAACATAGCTCGGTGCGGGCATAGGTTGACCACACGGGACTTTTTTGCGGCCTGTGTGCAAAAGAACAGAGTGGGAGGGCAGGAGATCGAGTTGTTGCCGTGGTTGGGGAAGATCGAATGGATATGGGACATTGGGGAGGAACTTGTTAGAAACTCGACATATAACTGAGGCGAATCAGGTTCTTGCATGAGTGGAGTTCGAGAGGCCCTAGGAATAAGAAAGCGGTTTGGAGTCTCATGTGGAGGGATCAAGATTTGTAGCTTGAGATCTATGTGCAAGGCTTGGAGCAGACAGCGGTTTGGAGTGTCATGTGGAGGGATCAAGATTTGTAGCTTGAGCTCTATGTTCAAGGCTTGGAGTAGACGTTGGGTGATGAGAGGGAGGCGAGTGAGATGAGGGAGAGTGGGGTTGCTTGGGCTTGATTGGGTCAAGAATAGCTGCTAGATGAATAGGGGAGCATTGTAGAGGGAGATGTGTTGTGTCCTTGGGATAAAGAGGGCATAATAAGGAGGTGAGGGAAGAGCAATAAGAGATGAACAAGTTGCTCATGAGTTGGGCTTCATGATGTTGATTCGAACAAAGATTGCATGAGGGAGAAAGCTAATGCAGGGGTTCGGGTTGGTGGCTTCTTGATAGGAGGGTCGCAAGGCTTGAGGGGACTCCTAGGGTGAGCTAGTTTTTAATTAGGAGGCATAGGAGGTGAGATTGAAAGGGGAGTTGAGTGGAGAGAAGATAGGGAGAGGCAGAGAGAAAGCGGGTCGCCAAGGACGAGATTTGCACATGAGGGAGAAGTGTAATAAGGTATAGCAGTGTGTTAATATCTTTGTGTATTACCCTATTTAGTGGGATGAAGGCTTGTTGTTGTTGTTGTAATATCTTTGTTCATTTTGATTGGATTTTGTAGACGGCGATAGCATGAGAAAGTATGATAGAAGTGAGTTGGGGTGACGGGCCTGTCGAAGAAGGTAATCAAATACAAAAATTAATTATATGATGATAATAATAATGCTAATTATTATTTTTTATTTTAATTTTATACATACTCAAAATAAATTTTTTTGCCATTAGTCATGTTTTCATAATTTTTTTATTTTTTTTTTAATTTCGAGTGTCACATTTTTCATAAATAAATTTGTCATTTTTAGATGCATTGGTGAGATTTCTTTTGCGAATGGATAATGTTTAAGCAAATTTTTGTCATTGCTTGAGTTGCCTTGGCTCCAATCTATGTGACGCTGTGACACTTATCACGTTCACCATGCCTGAATGAATCAACTCTTAATTTTTTTGCTAATTTTAATGCTAAGCACACATCGACATAATTAATTTTATGAATAGGAGGAACTTTAATCTAATTTCAATTGTGATCGCTACATTTCCAGTTCATTTTGTTCATTGCTGTAGCTGTTTGTTCTTGATGCGGTATTTGATTTTGTCTGTTCGCATATTTTATATTGAGATCAACAAGATGTTGTGAGTCAATTTTATTTTGTGCATAAGTCAAAGCTATATTTTAATAACTTAATATCCTCATAACTTCCTTGTGTACTTGTGTTTTGCGTGGGCAATACTCATTTTACTAGTTAAAGATGAACAACATTTGGTAACAAATTTCGAGCAAATAGAGGAAAAAAGGGATATCAATGATAAAACATAAGCATGTTAAACTAGCAATGTTAGCCTTGCATGTCGATTGATTAATTTTACCATACTCAGAAAGTAATGGTAGGGTGACATGGTATTTGTGAAATACATTACTTGGGTGATATATATTTTTATTGCCATATATAGGTTTATTCTTATTATTTATCAAATTGTTTCCCCTCAACTTGATATCAAAGTGATTCATAAGCCTATTCCATCATAAGCCCTTCCCATCAGAAATCCTTCCCTCCTTTCTCTCTTCTATTGTTCCCCATCTTATCTTTGTCCTTCTAGCAATTGTATTATCATGTTCGTATTATTGTGTTTGGTCGCTCTTGTCGCACGCTCGCATGCACTTACTAGTTCTTTCTTGCTATCCCCATTAACGAGCACTTTGCCATCTCCACTCATTAGAACCACAGAGTCATTAAACGGCTTTTCTACACACAATAGAAAAAAACATATACTGAATCTTTTATTTCTCAATAGATTCCTCGTTTATGAACTGAGACAACTGTAGGGTGGCAGCCAATATGGGCACACATGAGTTTGTGTTACTCTCCTGAGTTTTTTCTTGGCTATTAATGATTATGAACTTCTTCTCACTTTTATTTTTTGTGTTTATGGAGTCTTTTTTATTAATCAATGATAAATTTCTATTAGAACTTTTTTAGCGTCATATACATTTCTTATAATTCATCTGCTTTTATTTGGCTTATTTTTGTGTTTTGTGCTTCATAGTGATGCAGCTGTAACAAAGTAATTATTTAATTTTCTTTAGGTGGTTGATTTCGGAGAGATTGGACCTATTCGATGTTCTCGTTGCAAGGGTTACATAAATCCTTTTATGAAATTTGTTGAGCAGGGCAAGCGCTTTATATGCAACCTTTGTGGTAAGGGTGAAAAGTTTTTGATTGATTTGTTTCCTTTTATTATAGATTTTTGAAGGCATTGTTACTTGATAAATTTAAGAATTCTATCATACAGATTTAAATCTAAAATTTCTAATTCAGCTGATTCATGGCTTAAAAAAAGAAAAAAGCTTATTTTTTTATAGTTGTGTACATGTCTTTTAGTTTAATAATTTTTTTTGAATTGCTATATATTGCAAGCCTTTGTTAATTCTACTGTGTACTTAGAATGGTAGCATGTGTTGTCAATTGTGCTTTAGCTTGATCCTTTACTTTTTTGCTGAGATATTTTGTGAACTCCTGCTTTAGAATGCTTTCTTGTGGGGCCGCTACAAATCTTAAATGTTGAAAGAATAATCTGGCTAAATTCAAGCATTTGAACATGCTAACCAATGATATGTTGTGGCGTGGCTGATGTTGAGGCGTTCTTGTTTCTACCTTGTAGTTTAAGAGCATCTTTTTCATACTTTGTTCTTAAGCTCGTTTTTTTTGCCTTTGCACTTTTCTTGATGTAAGAAACTTTCCTGTTTATAGCTATAGTTAAGTCCCCACTGTTTTTTTGGCTATCTTTTTGCATGGATATTTAAGCGTATCACCATATTCATACACTTAAAATGGAACAATGTCTTGCTAGTTGCTGTTGTAGAGGATGGTGTTGGTCGGGTTCATACAAAATTTTCTTAATCTTGTTTTGATTATGAGCAGTTTTCACAATTAAGAGAGATCGACTAGTTTTAGCAGTGAAACTTCAGATCTTTTGAGTTGCACAGAGTTACATGATTTTAAGAGGCTGTGAGTCAATATTCACCCTATTTTTAATGATGGAATTTTTTGTGGAGATCTGCAATTAGTTTCATATTTTCTATCCTCTTGATATCATTAGATTTGCTGTTAAGGAGTGATATGCTTTCTAATCAGGGTCGATAACCCCTTCATGGATAATCCTTAATTTTTTTTCTTGATCTCACAAAATCTGTCACCAGTACCGGATAACTCTCACCTATTTGCAAGTATTTATTAAATGGATAAAATTTTCATTTTTAATTGATGTTAAATGATAAAATAATATTTTAATTGATATAGAATAGCAGTTAATTCAATAGTTTTTTTTTTTTTTTGAAGTGATTTGATTGTATAATAAACAACAGTTTTACATGTTAAGTGATTACATTTTATTAAATTAAGAAATTGAATCTTAAAAATAACATCCACATAAGTACAAATCAACAAATTTTAGAATGATGTTAAGTGATAGGAAATCACTCTTCCGTAAAAGAATCAGCACATGTTAGAAAATTCTCATTTTTATTAAAATAAAGGGGAATTTGCTTAATATTTCACATTCCAATTTAATTTACAATTAAAACACCAAAAACTTCTTTAACCCGCAAAACTCACACCCGTGAGAACTCTGTTTACAACTCCATCAAACCCTCCCAAACTATTTTTTGTCGGATCTCAAAGATGCCATGTCATGTTATTTGTTGTGTCGCTAAAGACAACAAGCAAGCAGAGGTCTTCTCACTTGCTGCGGTGTAAAGAAGCACTATAAGCAGCTTTGATTGTTTGTAGATAAAGATATAGTGGAGGAGCTGCAAGATTAGAGTGGTTGGCGGGGATATCAAAGTTGTTGGAATAGATGGAAAGGGAACTGCGAAAATAAAAACAAAGATGAGGCGCGTAAGAGAATGTGAATGGAGGGAGTTCAGCCTGATATATTGCCTGGAGTTTGTGCAATGGTGCAAGTCTACTAGCAGACAAGTAGCTCGTAGAAAGATAATAGCGAGAGAAAATGAACTTCTGGTAAAGACTGGAAGCGGAGGTAGAAAGTGGCGAACCAATTAACCAAACAACAGAGAAGTTTCTGTAAAGACTGGGGTTTGAATTGTCCTCCTAAGCAAAGGAAGGAGATGGGAAATAATGAATCAATGCTGCTGCTGGGAGAGACAAACGAACAAAATGGCAGAATTATAACTGGAGTTCTCACAGGTTAGAGTTTTGATGGTTAAAGAAGTTTTAGGTTGTTTATTTGTAAATTAATGTTTTGAGTGTGATATGTAATTAGATTTGCTTGGCGTGCTATTTATGTAAAATCCCATTTTATATATTGAAGTATAAATAGCATCCCTTTTATTGTAAATCAACAATTAAAAGTCAAATGTAAAATCAGCAATTATAAATCGGTAATGTCAAAAACCAAAGTCTATGTGAAATTAATATGTGCCAAAAATGTAAAAATACAAACTTTGTTTCACTTTTTTAAGCTAAAAAATTATTATTAATTTTAAACCTTATAATGAAATAAGAAATGCTTATTAATTTTAAACCTTATAATGAAATAAGAAATGCTTTTGAAGGATAAATTGAAAGTTAGTGGAATTTGTTTCAATAAAAGCTTGTGGGCATTTAAAAAAAAAAATAAATTGAGGATTCACAAAGTCTACAACAACAACAACAACAACAACAAAGCCTTAATCCCACTGTGGGGTCGGCTACATGAATCCTTTTTCTCCATTGCGTCCTATTTAGTATCATATTTTCATTTAGTTCTAGTAAATTAAGATCATTTTTAATACAATAAGCCAAAAATTCCTAGGTCTACCTCTGCTTTTCTTAACACAAGTCGAATTTAAAACATCTACTCTCCTAATCGGATCATCTAATGGTCGACGTTTAATATGACCAAACCATCTAAGACGACTTTCTCTAATTTTGTCTGTCACAGGAGCTACACCAACCCTATCACGAATATATTCATTCCGCATTTTGTCTCTAAGTGTAAAGCCACTCATCCACCTAATCATTCTCATCTCGGCAACACTTAACTTATTATTATGCTTCTCTTTTAAAGGCCAACATTCAGCGCCATAGAGCATTGCAGGTCTCACCACCATCTTATAAAATTTTCCTTTCAGTCTTAGCGGTACTTTTCTAAAGTCTAAATTATTAAATTTATACATATGTATTATAAAAATTAAATATACTAGTTTATTTCAAATTAAATTATTATTAATTTTAAACTTATCAATGAACTTACTAATATGCTTTAAAGATCAAAATACTGTAGGCAAAATTGCTTTTCTTTAACCAAACATCTGGGTCTTCATTCATTATTTTGTGTTAGAAATGTGATTAAAATTTTATAAGATTTAACATGGATGAATGGTTGTTATTTTTCTACGAGCTTCAAGTGTTTTTAATAGCTGTATAGCTTATATTCAAAATTAAAAAAGAAAAAAAAGCTGTATGGCTTCATGGTTATGTCAAGAGAAAGGTCTCCATGAATAACTTTTATGTGGCAGAATGAAAATTAAGGATTTAGAAAAGTGTGGATTTATGTGGAACTTCTCTTATATCTAAGCAATGTTAGTGTGATTTGCCCAACCATTTAGTCTTTTTAGTCTGGTGCACATTCAAATGAGCAATCATTTGGTCTGATTTTGGTTTTTCTCTAGTATATTTTTTTTTTGGCCTTTTTTTATGGCATGTTTATTTTTGTTCCAATTAATTCATCTATATGATATCCTGCTTTAATTCTGGTTAGTATTTTATTCTCATTCTTGTTAGTAAAACTTTGCAGGGCATAGTAATGAGACTCCTCGAGATTACTTTATTAATCTTGGACCAGATGGCAGACGTCGTGATGCTGATGAGAGGCCTGAACTATGTAGAGGAACAGTTGAATTTGTTGCTACTAAGGAATACATGGTCTGTTATCTCGTGCCCTTAGATAATGCAGAATATTTCTCCTACTCTTAATTTTTTTCCTCAATGTGGTAGCTTGCTAAGTGCATCTATAAAACATATTTCAATTTCACAAGCTCTTGTATTGAAATTTTTTCGGCCACTTTTTACATCCATTTACTTTCCAATGCTTTTCATGCAGAGCAATACACTCTGGATAATTTGTTTAATTTATAATTTTTTTTCTTCCATTAGCCAGCTTGTAACGTGTATATATAACGTAAATTTTTATTTATATTTTTTTGTTAAAATTCTTTCGTCATTTTTTGTGTCCCTTTTACTTATCCCAAGGCTTTTCTATTATTGATTCTTAATTATGTTGTCTTTATTTCTGTTATTTTGTTTTTTGTAACATAATCTAATCATTGGATAACTTTGGCTGTTTTAAAATTCGGCCTAGCTTCATGGTTATAAAATTGCATCATTTCTGCCCCAAATATGTTTGACGGTGTATAACCATTACATTTACGCTAAATGTACTTTTCTTAGATGAAGATATTCAATATAGTTGACTGAGATATTTTGATAAACTTTTCAATTAAGTTTTTGAAAATACGATTGACTTTAGTGATTTTAATATCGTTAATAATAAAATTTTTTATTTTTATCATTGCATTAGTAAAAATAGAGTTGAGGGGGCTTAAGAAAAAGTAAAAAATCAGTAGGATCTGATTGTATCCCAATAAAAGTGTGAAAATATTTAGGAGATCTGATAATATCCTGGCTTACTAAACTTTTTAATACTATTTTTAAAACTAACAGTTGTCTAGGGAGTGAAGGAAGAGTATGTTGGTCCCATCTTTATTTCCGTTCTTTTGTTTTTTGTAACATAATCTAATCATCAAATAAGTTTGGTTGTTTTAAAATTTGTCCTAGTTTCATGGTTATAAAGTTGCATCATTTCTGCCCTAAATATGTTAGCTGGTGTATAATAATTACATTCACGCTAAATGTACTTTTCTTGGATGAAGATATTCAATATAGTTGAGTGAGATATTTTGATAAACTTTTCAATGAAGTTTTTGAAAATACGATCGACTTTAGTGAGTTTAAGATCTTTAATAATAAAATTTTTTATTTTTATCATTGCATTAGTAAAAAGAGAGTTGATGAAGCTTAAAAAAAGTAAAAAAATCAGTAGGATCTGATTGTATCCCAATAAAAGTGTGAAAATATTTAGGAGATGTGATAGTTTCTTGGCTTACTAAACTTTTTAATACTATTTTAAAAGCTAACAGATACCTGGGGTGTGAAGGAAGAGTATGTTGGCCCCCATTTTTAAGAATAAAGAGGATGCAATAAAGTTTACAAATTATAGGGAAATTAAGTTAATATGTCATACATTAAAATTATGGGATAGAGTAATTGAATATTGGTTAAGACATGATACAAGTATTTTTCATAATCAGTTTGGATTTATGTCGGTCAAGTCTACATTGTAAGCTATACATGTATTAAGAGGTTTTATGCAGAAGTCAAAAAGAGTAAGGAGGATCCACGTATGATTTTTATTGATTTAGAAGAAGCTTACGATAAGGTTCCAAGAGAAGTTCTTTGGAGAGTTCTAGAAAAGAAAGGTTTTAATATGAATTATATTCAAGTCATTAAAGATATGCACCGCGCGCACACACACATGCACACACACACACACTAGAGTTGCTACTTGTGTTCGAACAGAAGGTTGATTGACCAAATATTTTCATCTTTCAGTTGGATTACATTGGGGGGCGACCTTAAGCCCGTATCTTTTTTTCTTTAGTTATGGATGCTCTTATTGGACATTTATAGGAGGATGTACCTTGGTATGTGCTTTTCCCTGATGATATCCTTCTTATGGATAAAACTAGAGAAAAAGTTTAGGAAAAACTTGAATGATGGAGGTCTACTTTAAAGTCTATATGTCTTTGTTTGAGTAGATGTAAAATTGAATACATGGAATGCAATTTTAGTAGTAGTTGATCTAGTAGTAGACTTGTAATAATGGGTGATCAAATCATTGAAACGAGTGAACGTTTTAGATATATCAGTTTTCCCTGATGATATCCTTCTTATGGATAAAACTAGAGAAAAAGTTTAGGAAAAACTTGAATGATGGAGGTCTACTTTGCATTGAGTCTGTCTTTGTTTGAGTAGATGTAAAATTGAATACATGGAATGCAATTTTAGTAGTAGTTGATCTAGTAGTAGACTTGTAATAATGGGTGATCAAATCATTGAAACGAGTGAACGTTTTAGATATATCAGATATGTTGTTCAAAGTAATGGTGATATAGATAGGGATGTTATTGTAGAATTCAAGTTGAATGGTTGAAGTGGAGGTTTGCATTGAGTCTTTTGTGTGATAGAAAAGTACTGCTTAAACTTGAAGGAAAATTTTATAAGATGGTGGTGAGGTCGGCAATGCAGTATGACGCAAAGTGTTTGACTATAAAAGTGAAACATAAAATTAAGTTAAGGGTTGCTAAGATGAGAATGCTTAGGTGGATGAGTGGCTTTACTCTTTAGAGACAAAGTGCGAAACAGATATTTCCATGAAAGGGTTGGTGTAGCCCCAATAACAGAGAAGATTAGAGAGAGTCATCTTAGATGGTTTGGTTACAGTAGACGTTAACCGTCTGATGATTCGGTTAGGAGATGTTTTTGGTTGATTTATGTTAAGAAAGGTAGAGTAGAACTAAAAAGATCTTGGCATTTTTTATAAAAAAATGATCTTAATTTATTACGATTAAATGAAAATATGACACTCAATAGGACACAATGGAGAAAAAAGATTCATGTAGCTGGCCACTTAGTGAGATAAAGGCTTGTTGTTGTTGTACAAGCTCTTTGAAAGATTTGTATTTTGGTATTCGGAGCATTTTTTTGCACTTGAACGTCCTTTGACCTTCATCAAGGTGCAGGAAATGCATGTGTGAAATCTTGCTTTATTTTTTTGGAAATTTACATACGTAGCACACAATTCTTATGTATTTACATATCTTACACCAAAACTCTCATATTTACATACAAAGCACTTTGGCCCCTTAAACCTATGCATGAAATGTGTATTTGACTTTTGCAAAGTTATAATGGTGTTTTTTTTATGTGATTTTAAAGATTTGAGTGTTATATGTGTAAATATGAAAGTATAAGTGTGAGATATGTAATAATAATTGTTTGTTTTTCTTGAAGCATTGCAACTTATCAATTCTTGCGTTCAACTACCCTCTATCATCCTCAGTAAATATCTGCATGCCTTTTGGATACTCTTACTAGCTCATTGACATATAGAAATGATAATGACTCGTCTTAGAAGCACCTGTCCGGATTGTAATCGTATGCATGTTTTTCAAATGTGAAAGGACAGAAACTGCAGGCTTTGACGCACCTAAACCAGTCCACAGTTTAACTCCTAAATTTTGCTAGCCGCACTTACCATGTAATCAAAGACATTTTTATATTATTGACTCAAATTTTAATGGGGTATTTAAATACATACCGCCTAATTCTTATGACCTAACTCTTAAACTTTACTTTCTACATTTATATCACCTAAATTTTTCATATCACATAAAAAATGCCAATTCCTTAACTTTTAAAAGAGAGATTCACCCTTTCATTCATAGGCAAAGTGACATAATGTAAAAAATGAAGTTTAGGCGTTAGATATGTAAATACATAGAAATTGAGTGGTATGTCTTTAAATCTTCCTTTTTTAATACATCCTTTGTACAAGTTTATAATGACTAGCATATTACATATTTCTTGTATTCTTGCTTTCAAACGGTGTACCTTTCCCTTAATTATTAATTTATTTATTTTCTTGTGTTCTTGTACTTATGATGCTAATGCATTTTATTATGCGCTTCATATAACTCTGTTCAGTTAGTTGATGGTCTCAGAGTTTAAATTTGAAAAGCTGTCGACGCCCCCTTCCAGCTAAGTAATCTGGTTTTTTTTTTTCTGGTGCACAGGTTCGTGATCCAATGCCTGCAGTATTCTTCTTCCTTGTTGATGTCTCAATGAATGCCATACGAACTGGTGCTACTGCAGCTGCTTGCAGTGCAATCAGCCAGGCTATTGCAGATCTTCCGGTAAATAGAGAAAATTTCTCCTTATTTATGCATATGTCTAGTTTATGTCTCCCACCGGCATGAAATATTATTCGCCATCAGGAACTTTGTTGCCATGCATTGAATTATTGTTGTACTCTATGATGTAGGATGGTTTTGAAAATAAAGAAGAAAGTTGTCAAATTATTAAGAAAAAAATGATAAAATGCCTAAACAAGGAGATTTCATTTCCTAAAAATATTTTACATATTTTTCAACCTCAAGAATTTTAATTGTGACATGCACCTTCTTACACTCTTTACATGATTTAGCCCTTATTTTTATAAAAAGAAATGAAAAAAAAAGATTGCAAAATTGCTAACAAACAAATAATAAAATGCTATTATTTATCTAAACAATTACTAGAATATCTAACCCGAACTTGATTCGAAAATTATTCGGGTTAACCTAGACCATGGTATCTTCAAGTGCACAAGCAGGATCATTTACTGCTATTTATATTGCAGTGTAATGTTGTTTGGGAACTTTATGAACTGTCTTTTTTTTTTTTTGTTGAAGAATTCTGGCTACCTAGTTCACATATGTAGATATAATTTTATTGCTCCGTAGGAGATTAGAGCTCATTACTTTATGTTCGTGTTCATTTCACTTATTTACTATCAGAATAATAGATATTTTTTATTTTTTATTTTTTGGCAGGAAGGTCCTCGAACAATGGCGGGGATTGCAACATTTGATTCTGCTATTCATTTCTACAATCTCAAGCGAGCTTTACAGCAGGTAAGCACTCATATTTTTTGTAATTTAGCGACATGAAGAAGGTTCTGTGATTTGAGTTGTTTTTTTCCTATCTAAAACGTAAGCAAGCATTTGTATAATGTGAATTAACCGGGACTAGAGGATTTCAACCTAGCGCTTGTTCTGAAGTTTAATAGAATTTCATCAACAATATTAATGCAGGACGACTCAAGGTAGTTTTCAAATGTAACTATTTGATGCGTATTGCATTTTATGCTCTCATGCAAAAGAAAATAGGTGATCCACATATTACAGGTAACCAAATAATTTAATAACTCATTTTCCTTAACTGAAAAACTGACAACACCGGAGTTTAAAATTGTTTATTAATGAAATGATTGAAAACATTTGAGAATTTGAGCAAGAAACTAGAAACAAATAAAATTAACGAGGTAATTTATCAATTTCTACAAATTTGATTTTTGACAGACTTTCTTTTGATCAAATTCAATAGCATCAAACATGGTAATAAAATATATATGTAGTATTAATTTAAACATTTTCTTGGAAAAATCTTGTTGCCCTCAGATCATGGAGATGACTTCTCCAGTCACATTTACCAATCAATTCAACAATTCATTTTCCTTAACTTAAAACAAATAAAGTAGATTTTAAAATCAATTGATAATGTTTATAAAAATTTCAGCAATAAATTGTGAAAAAATAAAATTGATGAGCCAATATTGTGAATTTTTGCAAATAAGATTTCTAACACCGCTTTTTGATCAAATTCAAGAGGTCCAAATAAGGATATGATAAATTATATATATGATATAAAATATTCCCCCTTACTAAATTAGTTGTACTTACATCACGCTTAAAGAAATTACACATCTTATTTACTCTTAAGATTAAAATTAGCAAGTAATTTTATTCAAGAAATAGTTTTAAATAACATATATTAGATAATTGTTTAAAAACTGATGACCTGCGCTTGTAGATAAGGTTAGCACAAGATCAATTTTATTTTAAGTTAAATAGTTCAAGCAAGAATTTGTAGCTAATTTCTATAATCTATCAAACCAACCTTCTTCAAATGTAAAATTTCCAAATCAACGGAATAGTAGCTAACCCAGTTACATACACAAACTCATGTAGTAGAGCCACAAGCTAATCCCATCAACGACCACAAGGGTGCCACACATAACTCTCAATTTACAAGGGACAGGTATCAGGATAATCCCCAAGTATATCTCTTTCATGCTTAGGAAGGGCCATGGCTACGACTGCATCTGCTTGTTGGTTCATAAACCACAATTCTCAATAGATCTCAACTTTTATGTATTCCACTTTTGCTATTTCTTTTTAATATTTTGAATCATCTAAGGTCCAACTAATTTCCCAGTGCAACATAAAAAATATTATGTTGTCCAGTTGAGCCATCTCAATCTTTTGTGGATGTTAACCTAAACTCAATCAAAATTGAATTCATGCTAATCAAATAAATTAACCCAAAATTAGGAAATCATGTCAACGGCCAATGTTACCCTTTGTGGAGATCATCGTTGGCTTGCACTCAAATATTGAAATAACAAAGAAAATTAACCAACCATTGAAAAAAAAAAAATCACAAAACTAATGCTTGCTGTATGCTGTAATGCTTACCATATGAATAAATGTGAAGATTTCCATCTTTAATTGTATACTAAATGTAGTGCTTAAGTAGACTTTTTTGCATGCCTGTATAATATGAACTTGTTACCATTTTGGACCCGGCAATTTATCCATCACATATGAGGCGATTGATTCTTGAAATTTGAACTTGAACTAATAAATTTTTATGACAGCGAAAGGCTTGACCAAGTGCTAATTGACTGTGAGACAGTGATATTCCTGTACCTGTTGTTTGAAGCGATTAGTGAATTAGAACAAGTCATTAAATGATGCCACTTTTGGATAACATGTATCCGCAAGAAAATGCTATGGATTAGCTTGGAAGCCTTTAAAGTTATCTTGTTTTATGCTGTATTTAGCTTATTTTTTAATCCTGGCGTAGCACATATTTTTTTCACCCTTTAACCCTGCTTCAACTGCAATCATTTGGCAGCCTTTGATGCTTGTTGTTCCAGACATACAAGATGTTTATACTCCATTGCATACTGATCTAATTGTTCCAGTTGGTGAGGTTAGTATATTTAAAAGATTAATTTTCTGCTAGATATGCATATTATTTACATACTTTGTGGCGTACAATAATTTTAAAGACTTTCTTAGCTATTCTTGTCTTTTTGAGGGTTCAGTGCCGGCAACACCTTGAACAATTGCTTGAAAGTATTCCATCGATGTTTGAAAACAACAGAGTTGCTGATTCAGCTTTTGGTGCTGCAATAAAGGTTTAATTTATTTTGAAGGTTGAATTCTTTCGATTTTCAGTATTATTTGTGGTTCAAGAAACTCCAGCGTTTGCCAAACCTTAATTTGGTGTATAACATGTTGAAAGGATGGAGCACATTCCTTTGAATGTCAGATTTTGCATGTGAGGTTAATTTTTGCTAGATGTTGTGGAGGATCGATTCAGCAATTTGAAATTAGATTTGTGCTTGTTAACATTATATTTTTGTTCATATTTTCTTTGATTTTTTTTTTCTTTCATCCTAATTATTGCCTTTGGTTCATACCTCTTTTAGGCTGCTTTTCTGGCTCTGAAGCCAACAGGGGGGAAGCTTCTCGTTTTTCAATCAGGTAAATTCTATGAGGTTCTCAGCTCCATATATATAAAAAAATGGACTCTGATTTTTTTTTTTTTAATGATTTAGTATTTTCTTTTAGGAGGTTTACATAAGTATTTTTGTTTACATATCTAACAACTAAACTTCAATTTTTAAGTACGTGTTGCCTTACATATGCATGACAAGGATGTTCACATTTTAAAAGTTAAAATGGTGGGACTTTCGATATGATATGAAAGACTTGGGTGGTATAAATGAAAAAATTAAAGTATAGGTGTTAGATGTGTAAATACATAGGAATTGGGTAGTATGTTTGTAAATGCTCGTTTCTTTTATCATGTTCTCTGCCAATTTATGTAATCTGGGAGCAATCTATTTTTTTTTCTAATTTTTTTGTGCTTAAATCTTAGTTTAGTTTAACATGAAATAGAGGTTGTGTGCATTTCATGGCTGTTGTTTGTAGGCTATGTGGCAGTGTCCTGAGAAACAGAGCACTTTCTCAGTAATAAAGTCACCGAAGTCACTACCATGTTGTGGTTCCTGCCTTGTTTATTCTGTTGTAATATCTTTCTTTGTCATGGCGAACATCTTGAGTTTTATCATTGGCTTTTTTTGGGCTTGTGTTGGGGTTGACATGGATACACTACTTAAAAACTTTCATGTCTTATAATTCAGTGGTGAAATGGAGTTGCCTTTTGCGATGAAATAGTCTTAAATAACTAAAGTAGCATTCATAGCACGAGATCAATGCATCATAGAATCTCAGCTGTTAGATGTTATTGTGGGGAATGGAAAGGGTGGAAGAAATTCTTTCGAAGCATTTGGTATGAGGAAATATTTGGGCTATTCTAGGAAGAAAGTAATGAAATTAGTGATACTAGGGTTAACCCAAACTTTAATAGGAAAAATAAATGGTATTACTTCAAACAAATAGATGGTTACAAATAAATGCACTTGGAAAAGGAATTGTAACAAAATAAAACACAAACTCACTCTAGGACTCGATCCAGAGGTGTTAGAGGTCAGAGAGGTGGTAGGAGGTTGAAATGGGTTGTGGGTCCCTGGACAACAAAAGGAGAGGCTGAAATTACGTTGTGAGTGATGCGGAGAGGCGGAGGGCTTGGAATGGGAGCAACAACCAAGGGGAGGGCTGTGGGACAATGAGGCGCAGTGTAGGTGAAGGGCTGTGAATTGCAGGAAAATAAGAAGTTTCAGTTCTGGAGGGCTGCGACAGCGAAGGGGATGGCTGGAATAAATGAAATAGGTGCCTGGGTGGTGGCACTATAGGAAAAAGACAGCAAGGTTGCTATCCTAGGCAGCTGTTGCAAGTATAAAGGGTTGGTTAGAGGTCGAAATAATGACAGCGTGGGAAGAAGAATGAGGACTAAGTCGGAGGGCTAGGATTGCGATGGTAACGAAGAGGAGGGACAAGAATGCAATGGTGGCGGCTGCGGAGGTTGCAGGTCTCCTTGGGAATGACTACAACTAATGCACCACTTGATCCCTTCGAAGGAGATCACCATCTCAAATGAGTTATAGCCAGAACACATTTTCTTTGGATACAACTATAAAAGGGGAAACCCTGGACATCTACGACTGTCCTGAAAGACAACATCATCAAATTGCCTTCCAAACCCTAATGCAACACATCCATAGGAAATGACTAAAATGAATGGAAGATAAAAGGAACAAAATCATAAGGAAAATGGGACCGTTTCGGCTGCACCCGCTATATTGAATCCCGAGGTAGCAACTACAATATCACAAAAATTTATTGCGGGTAAGCTCCCTTGTCAATCTCCCGAGGTTGGGGAGCTTTAACCTCATTTGTCGAAGCTTTTGTTTGCATGCTAAAAGTAGCGAAGTTGTTGTAATTTTTTGGGATAGAGGGGTCTCTTAATGTGGTTTGAGAAGCACGTAGATCTTAGCAACGACTGCACTGCCTCCCAAAACACCTGAGTAGTTTTCTCCATTTACGAGCAACCATCCATATCAATCCAACTATCTCGAGGTACTCTGCTTAGCTGAACAAGAATTTCGTGCCAAGTGTATTATGTTGAATTCTCTAAAAGCAGCCCAAGGTTGGTTCAACGTGATTTGAGTTTAGGACAATTTGAATCTCCTTGAATGGTAGTGGCTAGGCCGGAAAGCTTGTAAAAAGGATGTCTTGAAACTCTTTGTTCTGGTTGTCTTGTGTCTGCTACCGGCTCCTCTCTCACGGTCCTTTGTCACCACTAGGAATGATACTCCAGATGCCTCTCTGCTTGCAATGACACTTGTAATATTGGACTCCACAGAGGATGACTCTGTGCTTTCCATTTTTGATGAATGCGTATGTATTCCTGTACAATTATGTTGACTCTTGTGATCATATTGCCACAGTCTCCCCAACAAAATGTTACAGACGTCCATGGGCACCACATTGCACCAAACATGATCCTGCAGCTGACTCCCAATTAAATGCCAATGCTGATCATGTTTTCCTTCAACCATGGCAGAGAATATTGCTAAGGATGTTTTTGAGTGATGATGCTCAAATTGTCCGCCATCAGTGTTGACACCACATTTTTTGCTCCTCCCTCCATCGATGATAATTGTGCATTCCTTTCCCTTCACGGTGCAACGAGTATATTGCGGCGAAGCGATTGTTGCTCCATCGACACCTCAATCTAAAAGACTTATTGAACCACAAGCATCTCGTCCTCATCCGGTAGAAATTGGTACTCTTCAAATTTTTCTCCAATTGCTTCCTCATCACTTACTTCCTTCACTTGCCTCTGCTCGGTAAAAGTCACAACTTAGCTCATCAGTCAACTCAAAGCGATGTGCCAAAATCATGACATCTGAAGCATTTACCAACTGGAACTGTAGTGGCTCCAACCTCCTCTTAACCAGTCTACTTCACTTCCTAAGGCGTGGTCCTCCCAAGGTCTCCAACTGTGGGTGGTTGTTTGACTAGTTATGGTTTCGGGTTTTTCTTCTCTTGTCTTTTCACTTTCAGTGCTAAAGTTTGCACGTCCCTCAATATCCTATAGGGTTGCATCCGGGTCACATCACTGATAACAAGCTTCGGTCATCCCAAATACTTGCCTAAGGTGTGCTCCTTTATATCTTTTGGCTGACACTTCAACTTAAGTTGCTTAAATTTTGTTGTGAGATCCATTGATAGCTTCTGCTGCAGGTAATGGAGCTTCAAGGAGTTGTCTTGGTGGTAGTTTGGGAGTAGACATTGTCACTGTATCTCCCGTTTCCTCTTCTCTCAAGAATTAATTCTGTCCCATTATTCTCTGTCTCTCCCTCTTTCGATTCTACCACCATAACAAAGCATTATTCTTCAGTTTGATGATGGCTAACTTCACTCTTGTCATCAGGCACCTCCTTGTATTCAAATATACACTCAACAATTTACATCCAATTGAGCAAGTCGTCTGGATTCATTTTCCTCTCCAAGTCAGGTATGCCCACTTTAATTATCGAATCTTTGTATCTTCTAATAGGCACTCCATATCCGTATCTTCCAACGGGCAATCCATCTCTGTATCATCTAACAAGAATCTTGTTTTTGTATCCTCCAACAACGCCTCATCTATGTATTTTTCAATAGGGGCTTCAGCTTTAGATCTCCTCTGATAGTGTGCCCCAAATTACTGTGGCATGCCTGCCTTATTCTCCACTAGAATCATCCCTACGGAAGGGATTCAGGTATTGTACTTGATCTCCTTCACAGTTTTCACTATTACATATGACAGTGATTCTGCCTTGGGTTCTTTCCTCAATGTCAACCGATGCAACACTTGGTGGAGTAACTGTTGTATGTCATCCATGGTAGGTTCCTGATCAGATTCCGACAATTGTTTCAACGATGACGTGGTTGGGGTTTTGGGATATTGGTAGGTGGAAGGAGGTGTGTAGGGCAGTGAAGAAAAATTTGGGGGGGATGATATGAGGAGGTGATGCTAGAAATCCTAGGATAGGACAATTGTTAGACTTTATTTGATAATTATTGATACCGGAGTTAACCCAAACCACAATAGAAAAAACAATTGTTTTTACTTAGAACAAATAGATGGTTACTACCAAACACACTTGGAAGGGAAATTAAAACAAAACAAAACACAAATTCACACTTGGGCTTGACCCGAGGGTGGTGAAGGTCAGTCAGGTCGTCGGTGGGTGGTGGTAGGAGGCTTAAGTGGGCAGTGGGTTGCTGGACAACAAAAGGAGGGGTTGGAATTCTTTGGCGGTGAAGTGGAGGGCCTGAAACAACAACGTTGGCGAAGGAGAGGGCTAGGACTACTGGTGGCAGGGAAGGGGAGGGATAGGAAACCGAGAGGCTGCGAAGGTGAAAGGGTTGTGAGCTGCAGGACTATAAATATAGTATTGTCTCAGGGTTGTGGCAACGAGTGAGGTTGTGAGCTGCAGGACTACAAATATAGTATTGTCTCGGGGTTGTGGCAACGAGTGAGATAGATGAAATAGGTGGTTGGGTGGCAGAACTACGGAAAAAAGACAACAAGGCTCCTTTCCTGGGCAGCTTCAACAAGTATGGAGGGTGGTCAAGAGTTGAAGCAGCGAGGTGATTGG